TCATAGCTCCTGAACAACCTTGCCAGTACTTTCCAAATGTCCATTTTTCCTTAATCCATTCTTCCCTCTAACAACATCCCAGACAGTTGCTAATCTGCTTTCTTTCTAAATGGTTAAATTTTCTTGTTTTATATAAATGGAATCATGCAATATGTACTCTCCTTTTACCTGACTTATTTGAGTCAATAAAATGCTTTTGAGCTTCACCTATATTGTTAGTAGTTTGTCTTTCTTACAGAGTAATACTCCATTGTATGGCTATGACACCATTTGTTTATATATTCACTTAATAGGTTTTGGCCATTGTAAAAAAATTTCCTCAGAACATTGCTGTGCAAGGCCTTATCTGGACCTATGCTTTTCTTTTTCTTGGGTAAATACCTAGGAGTGGAAAGTTTAAGTAATATGGTAGGTGAATGCTTAACTTTTTAGGAAATTGTCAAGATGTTTCCAATGTATCTGGACTTAAAATTGTAGTCTTACACTCAACATTGGAGGGTTTCAGTTACTTACCAACACTGGTAGACTTATTTTGTGGTGTTATACACCATTGGGTCACTTGCAATTCATAGCGATCATAGGTACAATAGTTCTAAAACATTTCTTATCTCAAGCCAGTCTCACTGTCTCTGACACGCCTAACCCCATCACCCCAGTTACTGTGTCAATCCATCTTCTGGGATCTTCCTGTCCTATGATGTCCTTCACCTTCCCAAGCATGATGTTCTTCTCCAAAGTCTGGTTCTTCTTGGCAGCATGCCCAAAGTATGTGAGGCTGACTTTTAGAATCCAGCAACCTGGTTTTCAGCGTTTCCAGGACAGATCTATTTGTTCTCTTGGCAGTCCTTAGTATGTCCTACACTCTTCTTCAGCACCACAACACAAAGGCATCAATTATTCTATCATTCTTATTCATTGTCCAGCTGTCTGATGCATAGCAAGTAATTGTGAAGACCATGGCTTGGATCAGGCTCACCTTAGTCTTTAGCCTGACATTGATGCATCCTATTTCCATACTTTTTAAATCTATATGTGGAACAGATCATTCGGGAGGCTGGACTTTATGAGGAGGAATGTGGCATCGGGATTGGAAGAAGAGTCATCAACAACTTGTGCTATGCAGAGGACTCAACCTTGCTGAAACTGAGGAGGATTGGAAGCATTTGCTGCAGAAGGTCAAGGACTGCAGCCTTTGATGCAGATTGAAGCTCGCCATCAAGAAAACAAAGATTCTCACCACTGGGCCAATTGGCAGCATCACGATGGAGAAGATATTGAGATTGTTAATAGCTTCAGCTTGCTTGGCTGCACAATCAACACTTTGGTATGAGTAGCCAGGGAATCAAAAGACAAATTGCACTGGAAAAGTCTGCTGTCAGGGACCTCTCCAGAGTACTGAGGAGAGTTATTTTAGACATCTCATTATAGTTATTTTGCCTTAATTTCCTACCTAAAAGGACTATACATGTATATATATTTGCAGAGAACAATGTCGTTATATTTATTGTTCCAGTGAAATTATTGTGGCCTATGGGTGATGAACTGTGCTGCCAACCTAAAGGCACATGGTTCGAATCCCCTAGCTGTTTGGGTGAGAAAGAGGCACAGTCTTCTCCTGTGTGATTTATTGCCATTGGAAGGTCAGCTACGGGCCAATAACAATTTGATGGTACCTAAAAACAACAGCTTACTCTATGAAGTGTCTTAGTTGAGAAAAGAAAGTATATTGCTCCTATACTACTGTAAGCCCAACTGGTCATGTGCCAAGCTGTCCTTTCATGGCCACAATAGTTTACCAAGATATTCCACTCAAAAAAAACCCTTTCCCTTATCACAATAGGACTACAGAAAGAAATGAGTGGCATAATGTGGCAAATGCTGGGCAGATGGACATCCTTGTGAAAAGCTTGCATAAACATGAAGCCAAGAGAACGTAAAGCTAAGAGTTAGAGACTTTAGATGTTTAATGATTACATCATTTCAGCTCCTGGATGCAGCCCCACCTGAAGTATATGAGTTCTCCACTTCTCCATCCCTCCTTTTTAAAGATAAGTTGACTTGGGTATCTGTCACTTTCAATCAAGAGGGGGTCCTGGCAGGTATCAGAAAAAGGCATATAATATTGGTTACCTCTCATTTCACATACAAAGTATCTTCATGTTGTAAAGTGCTGTTGAGTTGCTTGCTACTCACAGTGACCCTACGTACAAGAGCTCTGAACCCTGCCCTAATCTAAGCAACCTCATCGTCTCCAAAACAGCCACCCCATTGCCCCAGTTACTGACTCAATCCATTTCATCAAAGGTCTTCTTCTCTCACGCTGTCCCTCCACCTTTCTAAGCATGTTGTCCCTCTTCAACGACTGGTCCCTTGTTGCAACATGCTCAAAGTATGTCAGATGGAGCCTCAGAAGCCTTGCCTGGTTTCACCCTCTCCAGGAAGAACGTGTTTGTTCTCCTAGCAGCCCATGGTATATTCAATACTCTTGCCTTCCCTAAATTCCTGCCTTTTAAAAATTTTTGCTTAGCAAGCCCCTAGAATTTACAGCTGAATCAGTCAAATTGGTTGAGGATGAAACTTCATAGGACACTAAAAGTTCAGAGTAAAATTTTCAGGCATAACCCTAGAAGGCTTGCTGAATCAAATGCTCTGGCTCAAATCATTCCACTGTAATCCAACAGGCTCTTTAATTTTTAACCAAATTGTCATTTAGAAACCTGATCCATAGAGTTTTGGGAAGCAGCCTTCATTTCCAACTAGCATTCTCTTCCTTTTTAATGAGTAAATACTTAAAGAAACATATCCATATATAGTCATACAACTAAATGCACAAATAAACAACATTGTAAGTGACAAGGCTAAATAATTTGGTTGGGCGTTGTTTGAGAATGTATCCCCAGAGTACAGAGCAAAGGTTATCCGCTAGTAACAGAAATGGGAAGACCTAAAGTAGGGTCTTCAGATCTGTGCAATCCCTCTGGAATGGCCCTTTTCCTGACAAACTTGAGACTGCAGAACGACATGGTGCTTTCTGCATAGGTCCCCTGGACACTCGGCCTCGCATTTCCCAAACTGGCCAAACTCACCCCCTCTCGTGTGTTCCCCTCCCTTGCAGGACACAGCCAGCCAAAAGCAACCAGAAGGTTTTTGCCCTGAGCGATGCTGAACATCTCCAACAATCAATCCTAGGTTGCGTGGCTGCAGCCAGAGGCGCAGCGCCCTGTCGGGAGCATTAAAACAGTCGACAACCTGCTGCTGCAGCGTGAGCCAGTCCTTTAGATCCCTTCTCAGGGATCATGGCCCCATTCTCTTGATCCCTAGGTCCGTCTCAGTGCTCCTGGCCCCATTCTTGCTTTGCTTTCCGGGTACTGATCTCGTACTCCTCGGTACTATACCCAGGTTTCAGAACTTCCACAACACACAACAGACCCCGCGCTTTTACGACTCCGCCTACCGGTTTACATGGCTCCGCCCCTGCACACTAGGCCCCGCCCCGAATATACGCTCCGCCCCAAGGGCTTCGGCTCCGCCCCAGAGTTCTTGCATTCTGGTTTCACCTCCACGAGCCCCCGCACTCCAGGCCCCACCTCTCTCCTTTTCAAGCATGACTCCGCCCCTGCACTACTGGCCCCGCCCCACGCTCCCGGATTCCACTCTCCAGCCTCCTTTGCGTTCCTGAGCTACGCCTCTTGCCTTTTCAGACTTGACTCTGCCCTCCGCGCCCCTGGTTCCGCCCCATACCTCTGGTTCCTCTCTGTAACCCCACCCTCCTGAGCCCTCAGGCCCCGCCTCTCACCTTTTCAGGCCCCACTCCGCTCCCGCGCTCCTCTCTAACCCCACCCTCCACGGCTCTCGGGCCCCGCCCTTTGCTCACTATGGCCGCGCCCCCGCGTCCTGGAGCGCGTTTCCCCGCCCCCGCGTTCCCGGGCGGCCGGGGGAGGAGCTGCAGCGCGGGAGGAGGCGTGGCCGGGGCTTCGGTGCCAGCCGAGGCGCGGGCGGCGCGGCCAGGACTTTGATTTGACACAGTGTGCGAGCGTAGCGGTGCTGCTGGGGCCGGATCCCGCGCCCGAGGAAAGCGCAGGACTTTTTGCCGAGATATAAACGCAACTGCGGTTACGCCGCAAGTATTGTTCCCGCCACGGCTGACGGATTCTGCCGCCGCGGGACAGCGCAGTCGCTCCGCCGGTTCTGCGAGAGCAACGCTCAGAGTTTCTTCCACAGGAACGCCGGGGCGTGCGGCTCGGGGAGGCGCCGAGAGGGCCGGCCTGGGCAGCGACCTCCACCCGCGCAGGCGCCAGGGCTGGAGGCAGGAGGCCCCGTCTGTCCCGGGCTGGACCCCGGCTTCGGAGCCGCCGCAGGTGGACGCAGGACGGACGCCAGAGGAGAGAGGTGGGCCTCGGGATGGGCGGTGGGTCGGCACATCAGGGGATTTCTTACTCCTTCTCTGTGTCTGCACTGGCGATGACGGGGCTCCCAAGTTGCAGGTGGAGCTGAGTGTCCAGCGCGGAGGTGGGGATGTGCCCTCCTTTACCCGATCCAGAATTGGGGTGAAGGGGCGAGATGACCCTCAGGGCTGCCAGAATTGGAGGCGGGTTGGAAAGATGTGGTTCTGAAGAAGAAGAGGTCTCTTAACAAGAGTACAGCCTCATACCTTGTTTGGATACAGATAAAACCAGGACCTGTCCAGAGGAAAATTCACGTGGGCCAGCCAGTGCGTTTTTAGAGGTTAGGGCACAAGACCAGGACTCCTAAGAATTACTAGCTCTAGATAGGGAGTGCTTATGAAAATTGGTTCACTAATTTATTTGATTTGTGTGCTTCTTAATTTGTTTTTCAGGTTGCCAAGGCAGATAGTTTTAAATACTGGACTTGAAAGATTTGGTACTTATCTTTGGCAGCCGTTTTAGCCTCTGAATCCGGAATCATCCCCAGAGGTACATTGGGCTGATCCTTAGCCAGAGTTCTGCAGCACTGAGGTCTTATTTGGCCCCTGCGCCTGGCCCACCATGGGGAGCACCCTGGGCTGCCACCGCTCCATCCCCAGGGACCCCTCGGACCTGCCCCATAGCCGCAAGTTCAGCGCAGCCTGCAACTTCAGCAACATCCTGGTGAACCAGGAGCGACTCAACATCAACACTGCCACTGAGGAGGAGCTGATGACCTTGCCTGGGGTGACACGGATGGTGGCACGAAGCATTGTGGAATACCGAGAATACATTGGCGGCTTCAAGAAGGTGGAGGACCTGGCCCTGGTCAGTGGCGTGGGCGCCACCAAGCTGGAACAGGTCAAATTTGAGATCTGCGTGAGCAGCAAGGGCAGCTCCGCGCAGCACTCTCCCAGCTCCCTGCGCAGGGACCTGCTGACAGAGCAGCAGCCTCATCACCTGGCCACCTCCGTGCCCCTCACCCCACGGGTCAACATCAACACAGCCACTCTGGCTCAGCTCATGAGCGTGCGGGGCCTCACCGAGAAGATGGCCCTTAGCATCGTGGACTACCGCCGGGACCACGGGCCTTTCCGCAGCGTGGAGGACCTAGTGCGCATGGACGGTATTAACGCTGCCTTCCTGGACAAGATTCGGCACCAGGTGTTTGCAGAGAGGTCCAGGCCCCCATCCACGCACACCAATGGTGGTCTGACGTTCACGGCCAAGCCCCATCCCAGCCCCACCTCCCTGAGCCTGCAGAGCGAGGACCTGGACCTGCCGCCAGGAGGGCCCACGCAGATCATCTCCACGCGGCCTTCGGTTGAGGCCTTTGGAGGCATGCGGGATGGCCGGCCTGTACTGAGGTTGGCCACCTGGAACTTGCAGGGCTGTTCTGTAGAGAAGGCCAACAACCCTGGGGTGCGAGAGGTTGTGTGCATGACACTCCTGGAAAACAGGTGAGATTAGAGATCACCAAGGGTGTTGGGGGTGAGGGCAGCTCTTGTGCACCTTGCTTTTATCCATGGATGCACATAAGTGGGCTTCTTTGGGGCTCAAAGGAGAGGGCAAGGGTATTTAATCAGGTTTGTTGTTGGTTTTTTTTAAAAACCTCAGACAGGGTTTTCACCTAGGCTTTCCTGTTCCAGAATGTTTTGGAACACAGCAGCACTTGTGGGCTGCTTCTTGAACAGGATGTGTCTAAAATCTACCCATTAATTGACATTCATTTTGTTGGTGTTTGGAGGCTGTGTGGGAGTTCCTGGGTAGTAAGGATAAGAGGCCAGTGCAGTTGGCTGATACCAGAATGGTTGGAGGTTCAAGTCTCCCTAGGGTTGCCTTGGAGGAAAGGCCTTGTGGATCTAGCTCTGAAAAAAATCAGACATTGGAAACCTGATAGAGGCCATTCCTACTCCAAGACAGCTGGGCTCACCATGAATTAGAGGCAACACAAGGCAGCTAGTTTTTCTGGAGGTTGTGTCAGTGCTGTTTGGCTCACAGTACCCTATGGGGGGGGGGGGTTACACTCAATTGGGAATTTTGAGCCCAGGGAACTCTTGGGCAGTTTTGCATGAGAAGATTTAACTAGATTCTAGAGAAGATCACATTTGTTCCATCAACTGTACGTCTTTGTGTGTCTCAAAGGCCAGGTATTTGCAAACACATGCGCTGCGTATGCTTACCAAAATACTGTGAATGAATCACTCTTCGTTCTCTTCCCCTGTTTGACCCAAGGTTGATTTTAAGTCTCACCATTGCAGCATAAAATGTGTGTAATTTCCCGTTCCACGGCAAGCAACGGCCGAGCTGACTTGTGTGTGGATATTTGCCAGGTTTTCCATTTGAACCAAAGAATTGTAGAATAGACTGTTATCACAGAATGTTTCCATTATTCACACACTGCTCTCTATAGGAACTTCCGTTAAACACTGCACTCCCCCCCATCCCCCAAAGAACAGAACAATATTATTGTAGCAGTAACTCCTGCTGCTAGGCAAATAATGTACCATATACCATAATGTAATCAGCTCTTGGAAGAAAAGGAGTATTTTTAACGTTCCTTTTCAGGCCAAAAATTCTCAGGTGCTAGTCTTGAGAAATTTTCCCCCTGCCCAGCAGCTTGTTAGGACTGCTCATTGCTTTGTGGTGTGTTGATGAAGCTGGCAGGGTGGCAGTTTGGTGACATGAAAAGAGTTCTCAGTGGGGAAGCACAGTGCTTTGTGTCAAGATATCAGAATAAGCTAGTAAGGAGAAAAGCAGGTCAGAATGCTTCCCGGCCTTCTCTTGTCATCGAGGACAGAACTGGACCAGGGGAGCCCTTGAATGCTCTTCTCAGCTGGGCCTTCTGACTCCTGCAGAGTCATCAGTGAGAGCTGAACTCTATCCTGGGATGTACTTCTTGAGAGTGGTGCAATAATGGTTCTTTTCCATCCATGGCAGCATGGGTGTGTAGGATTGGAACATGAAAGAGGAAGAGAAAGGAGGGACAGCTGTTTAATGGCACTGAGGAGTTTAAAGGAGGGATACCTGTTTAAGGCCACTGAGGCGTTTTCGCTAGGCTCTGTTCGGAGAGGGCTCCTGATAGTGGCCTTGGTGTTGGAATAAGATGCTGTCGATGCACCTGTAGTGAGGACCTGATGGAATTTGGAACCACAGTTGTCCCAATGTGTATGACAGACTGCTCAGCCCTAGACCACTGACAGTGACTCTCGAAGTGTGACCAATAGAAACTGACTTAGAAACTCCTGGATTCTCTGTCAGTACACCTTGTAGGTGATGCAGAATCCTTGCATATGCTCAGCTGCTAACTGAAAGGTTGGAAGTTTGAGTCCTGTAAGAGATGCTTTGGAAGAAAGACCTGGCTCTCTACTTCTGGGGGAGGGCGGTGGAATCAGCTGTTGAACTCTCTGTGGAACACAGTTCTAAACATAGAACCACAATTTGGGATTGACTTGATGGCAACTGTTGTTGGTTTTGTTTTTTTTCTCCTTGATGATTTTGATGCACAATAAAGCTTGAGAATCACTGTACCTTGTGGCGGGGAGTACTGTGTGGAGGAGAGTCAGCTGTCCTTCTGGTTTTGTCTTAAAGAGTCCTTTTGTTTCCCGTTCTGGATTTTCTGATGAAGTCAGTGAATCCATATGGACTCTTCCAGGTGTTCTTTCTCTTTCATTGTTCTGATCACCACTGTAGTCTTGCACATCTGTGTTGTCTGGCCAGGTTTGAGGTATTCATTTTCTTGGATGCATGAATGTAAAATATAGAAAATGGGAGAGTGGGTAGGAGAATGCCAGCCCAGAGTGTCTCCTCTCTGCATCATGGGGACTGGGCAGGGGCATGGGGACACCAAGGGGGAACCCTTAATGACTCTGAACAACCTGGAGTTAGAATTTGTCCTGTTTATCCCTGTTTGCATTTCCTGGAGAGATAATGATTGGTTAAAGACATCCGGTTACTATCTTTAGATACAATGCAGGATGAGTTTACCTAGACCCAGCAGAGTAGAGCAGGGAGTGCCTGGAATAACTGGGCAGCTGACCTGCATCTCCTGCCCCGTTTCCCATACCCAGGTGACACCTGTTGTCTTGTGGACCAGTGGTTCTTTTTACCTGCTCTCAATGTATTCAGGGTTCTGGACACTCTGGCACATTGTGAGTGCCTGGTAAATACAGAATAATAGGCTTAGAGCCTAATCCCCTGCAGAGCTCTGGGGGGAGGGTGCACACAGATGGGTGGTGGGTGCCTGTGTTTCTGTGCGAGGCAACTCACAGCTGTCTGTGACAGGGGTCCTCCAAGATGCAGTGTCCCTTCTTCATGAGCTGTGGGTCTATTCAGCCTGACTCATAAACATCTCTTACATACCAATGTTCTTTTGTTGCTAAGAGGAAATACATTTTGTTTGAGCAAGAATGGGTGCAGCTAGTTTTCTGGGTGGGTCTTATTTTAGGACATACGTACACATCCAACACAAGAGCATTCTGACTCCAGGATGTGCTTTCTATATCTTTCAGTAGCGTTCACGTTCATTTGATCGCTCAGTCACTGTGGGAAGTAGATAAGGCTTGCTTTTATTAATGATTCTCCATCTATGAGTGAAGAAACCAAACTCAAAGAGGTTAAAGGCCTTGGCTCTGTCACGCAGCTCTTTGGTGACTCAGTTGGGGCTAGGTCCCAACCTTTTGACTTTGGATCCGTGCTCTAGCGGGCAGGCTGTGTTTGGTAGGCACACTACCTTACTGGCCTCTGCTTCAGGCATCCCAGACTCTGCCTAACCCAAGGTATTGCCAGAATGTGTGCCAGGCAAATTTTCTTAAATGAAATTTCATTTTAAAGAAACTCTTGGGCATTTATTTTTGCAAAGAAAATAGTTGGCTTTCCTTTCTCTGGCATTTGCTTTTGTGGGTATGTTTTCCTAGACTAAGAGGTACCTGTGTAGGAAGGGAGACAATGTCCTTGGACAGGCACGTGCAAGCTCCAAGAAATCGTATTTTGCACATTGAGCCTGAGGTGAGGTAAGCACACAGTCATCGGGAACCTCGGAGCACTGGCGGATAGCACAGAACTGATGGATTTCGTCAGGCTCCTGTGCCAGATCTCAGTCTCAGGCAGTATTTCTCCTTATTCTCAATTTATGAAGCAAGATGAAAAGAGGAATGCATCTGCCAAATTTCCTTACAAAATTTGTTGACAGTCTACATATAAAATGAAGACTTTTTCGTCTCTACTTCCTTCCTCCAGCCCTGGAGTGGTTCTATTAAATATCCTATCATTACTAAATGTATTAACCCTAGGGGAGCTGACAGATAATCCCTAAAAGAAGTAAGATTTAATGTAGCAGTTGTTTATTTTCCCCATGTCTTGTGAAGGAAATTTGACTGTCAAAGTTTTAGCCTTAAAATGATTTAGATCTGTTTTTTTGTCACCTGTCCTTATTCTCAAAGCACTGGATAGACTTGACCCTGGCAACATACAGTGATTGTGAATAAAGACAATTTAGTTTTTTAGACTTGTTGTGTTGTTGGTTGTTGTGTACCACTGAGTCAGTAAATCTCACAAGAGGAGAGTACCCACCCTTCTGCTGTGAAACAGTGCCTGGATTCGAACCGCGTGCCTTCTGAATTGTAGTGCAGCTTCTTGCCAGTAGACTACCAGCGTTCCCTAGGCTTGACTTGACTAGTATACTTAATATAGACAACAGCTTATACTGTGATTTGATTCAGTCATTGAAAAATAATGTATTTAATGCTTGCTCTATCCACTCATAAGCTAAATTCAGACATCAACTTGACCATGCTACTTAAAGTAATTGTGAATCGTTTTGAATAGTTTAGAATTCGAACAGTCTGGTAAACGTAGATTTCTGTCTTGTCCCCATATGATTTTATTATTCCATTCTGAGGGATTGAAAGCATTGGGGTGGGTGGATGAAGACAGACATAATGTTTGGGAACAAAACGCCCATCTGTGTTCTTAAAGTAGAACTTATGTAATCTGTTTTGAAAGTTGAGGAAACTGAGGCTCAGAGAGATTAAATGACATCCGTGAGGGCTTCAGAAATGTAATGTAGAGTTGGGAATTGAGCCCAGGCTGTCTTCAGTGTGTGACGGGGTTGTCTTTTCCGATAATACATGTCCTCCTGGCCCAGGCCCCTGCTCCCTCCTGGCCTGAGTCTCAGGCTGGCCAGGTATCAGTGTTTGGGAAAGGTAGGGCTTCACCTCTGGGGCCCTGTCAGACCAGGGAGGCCTCTGCACCCTTCCTGCTTTTGTTCTCCTGAAGGTCGGGGCCGGGCCAGAGGGGGAACTGATCCAAAGGGTGTCAGCACCCCCACCCGCCCCTCAAGTGGTGACTCTCTGACCTTGGGACTGACTCCAAAGCTGAGTTCCAGTTTCCTAAGCCAAGGATTGCTGGGCCATATCCAGAGAAAAAGGTGGGTGGTAAGATTCAGACTGGAGACTAATGA